AAGGGAGCTCGACCAGGTATCATCTAAACCAATGCACCAGAGTACCGCATGGAAACCAACGACTGAGAGATGAGGAAGCTGAGGATGCCAAGACCCTAGTGATGGAAGAAGGTCCTGAGCGAAAGGGACCAACGCCGCCCGGAGTAGAGGCCCAGAAGCAGATGGTCATCGTCGGAAGAGAGCCCTGCTGGGCCCTCACAACAATGAGGACAATTTGTTCTTATCTAGAGCAGAAATGGTTGCTAATCTTACATCAGGACAAAAAGAGTGCTGGGTGTGTGGGTTGGGGCCGTTTAAGGTAGGAGCAGGTTTACCGCTTGTGGGAGTTCCCATAGGGGTAAATCTGAATATGCAAACGGTCTTAACATTCTTAGTGGAGATACCATGTAACCCTGACCCCATGACGTTCTCTGTATTACACAACCATACAGGCCCACCGTCGTTTACTAGGCCAGATAATACCGGGTTTGGAGGGTGGATCATGCAACTGTGTCTGACAGTTGTTTTAATCATTGCATTGATTTTGCTGCTCATCCTCATGTTGAAGTCTTGCTGCAATATGTGTTTAAAACTGGTAACAAATGTAATGTTAAATGTTGCCATGACCCAGGGCCAGAATGCAGGTTGCGAATGATTAACTGAGCTACCCTTTACTGCTGAGGACTGTGATGTTTGAAAATATAACCTTAATGCAAGGATGTTAGTCACTACATATCCCTATATTAATATATTAGTCACTATATATATTTGCAGTGTTTGTGTGGGACCTATAAAGTCCCAAAGGGGGGATATATTGGAGATTTTTTGTTAACTACTCTGTCTTACTTTAGGGCAGACAATATAACAAACCAATTATATGAATTATCCATGTTGTAGAATGAAACACCTATATGCCCTATATGCCTATGGATTAAGAAACAATGAAATGGGTTAAAACAGAGCCATGAAGAAATGGCTCTATAGGTATTTTTCCATTACATCTATTATAGTATGCTTAACAATAGTATAGACATTTCTTTAGTGCAAATGCTGTTCTTCTGAGAAAGGATGGTTCCCTCTAGCTCCCTGCAGCTGGTCTGGGTGTGTAGTCAAGGACATGGGATGGAGATAGACCTGTATTGTTTCTCGTTGCTTCTGAGTAACCTGGTCACACGGTCAGGACAAAGAGCCTCAGAATGACCACAGTTTTTCAGTTCATCCTGTCTTTTACTATCTTCCAAGGGCGCAGCTGTGTGGAGATATGAGTAGTAACGGAACTAAAGTTATCACTTGTTTGTGCGCTATGTCCCGATACACATAGCCACAAGAAGAAACCATAGTGGCTCCAGGTCAAGGGAGGGTGGCTGTTTGGATAAAGAGGGGGTTCTGATATGATATGAAAAGGAGACCAAGCAGACATGGGGATAGACAGAAAAGAAGCTAGACAAAGAAACCATAGTGGCTCAGATATGATATGAAAAGATGGTCTGCAGTTGCTCTGCAGACCAGCTTGGCTCTATTGCTTGTGTAATAAAGTATATCTTAATTCTACAAAAACTCTGAAAGTACTTTGTTTATTTGATAATTTTCTACAACAAAGGTAACATTTTTTTAACCGTGATGTCATTTAGGCCCCGGTAGTCGATACACAGGCTCAGGGTTTTGTCCTTCTTCTCCACAAAGAAGAACCCTGCACCAACGGCGGAGGCAGATGGACGAATACTCCCTGCAGCAAGAGAATCCTCAATGTACCTCTCCATGGTCTTGGTCTCCGGACCTGACAGGGAATAAAGCCGCCCCCGAGGCAGTGTAGTATCCGGGAGAAGGTTGATAGTGCATTCGTAGTGTTGATGTGGAGGGAGAGATGTAGCACGGCTTTATTGAAAACCTCCGGGAGGTACGGGTACTCAGCGGGAATGGCAGAGAGATCTGAGGCTTCTCCCAAGCCCGCAGGAAGACGTCCTGGGGCAGGCTGCGCCGACTTCAGACAATGCGCATGGCAGAACGGGATCCAACCCATGATAGAACCAGTAGCCCAGTCGATCAGAGGATTGTGCCTCTGGAGCCATGAAAACCCCAAAACCATGGGTGCATGAGGGCATTCAATGGGCAGGAACTGCATAGATTCACTGTGATTACCTGACTCTCTCAGGTTAATGGGAAACGTAGTGTGGGTGACTCTGTCAATAGAGTGCCCATCCAGCACTCTGACGTCAATGGGAATGGAGAGCGGTTTTGTGGGGATTCCCAGTTCCGACACCAGGGTAGCGGCCATAAAGCTCTCGTTGGCCCCAGAGTCAATGAGCACCCGGAGAGATTTGGACTGGTCACCCCACAACAGGATAGTATGGAGAGGGGTATGAGAAATGGAAGATGGGGAAACTCCCCGTACGGGTCATCAGTGTTCTCATACCTACTTGATGAGCCTGGTCTTTTAATGGGCAGGTAGATAAGAAATGTCCCGTAGCTCCACAATACAGACAACTCTTGGTGTTTAGTCTGCGCAAGCGCTCAGCAGGAGACAATCTAGCCCTGCCCAGTGGCATGGGCTCTGGAAGAGACGATTCGACAGCCCTCCTTGACTTCCGAGAGAACTCGGGTGACATCGGATCCACTCGGAAATGTGGACTTCGGGGATTTCCGGGATTCCTCAGAGGTGAGGTGGAAATGGAGGACGAGCGAGGGCGACAGGGAACAGACTCGCTCTCCCTCCTACATTCCGGTAGCCGCCCATTGATCCGGATGGTCAAGGCTATGAGGGAGTTGAGGTCCATGGGCAGCTCCCGGCTGCGAGCTCATTTTTAATCACCTCCGATAATCCGTGAAGGAACGCGTCGAACAGGGCTTCCAGGTTCCAGGCACTCTCAGCCACCAATGTGCGAAAATCCACTGGGTAGTCTGCCACACTACGGGAGTCCTGACGTAGTTGGAGCAGCTTACGAGCAGCCTCTCTCCCGGACAACGGAGAATCTAACACTTTACGTACCTCCGCCATGAACTCCTTCAGACTGAGGCAAACGGTGGATTGTTGCTCCCTCACCGCCGTAGCCCAGGCGAGAGCCCTCCCAGACATCAGCGTTATCAGGTACGCTATCCTCGAGTGATCCAAGGGAAATGAAGAGGACTGCAGAGGTCGGTAATCCAGGGCAGAGTCAATAAGGCACAGAACGGCAGGCTCAGGGTCAGGGCAAGCAGAGGTCAGTAATCCAGAGCAGTGTCAGACCGGTACAGAACAGCAGGCAGGCTCAGGGTCAGGGCAGGTAGAGTGGTCAAAACCAGAAAAACAGGGGCTAGAGCGAAACAGGAGTACAGGAAAAACACGCTGGTAGGCTTGACAAGACAAACTGGCAACAGATAACAGGAAACGCAGGTATAAATACACAGGAGATAATGGGGACAAATGGGACACACCTGGTGGGGGGTGGAGGCAAGCACAACACAGGTGAAACAGATCAGGGTGTGACAGCCGCACCACCTTCCTGTTCAAGTGAGCACAACAAGGTGAGTCCAAAAATGTATTGTATGCTGCTGCATAAATGATGTAATATGCCAGGGAGATATGTAGATACAGTAGCTAAGAAAGTAATACTAACTGGATGTTGTGTAGTAAGCTGTTAGTAGCCCATGTGCCTCACCCTAATAATTTGGTACTTTTTCCACTCATAACTTAGCCTACTGTTCTGACTTGGTGGTGCACATGTAGCCTATGTTTTAGAGACATTTCATCATCGAACATTGTAAGAGCTTTCATTGTCTGCTTATATGTCCCCTTTATTTATCCTACGGTTCTGACTTGGTGTACAGGGAGAATACTGTAAGAACGGCCCATGTTCTGAATTCTGTCGCTGTACATTTCAAAAGTGCTGAACAAATAGTTATATTAACTACGTCCGTCCTAGCTCGCTCACTAATGTCTTCATCGAAATTACGGATTGCCTAATATGTCCGCTGGTCGTCCCCTTATGCCATAGTTTGTAACTGTCAGCAGAAACCACATTTGTTTAAGCAAGTCAGCCATATCAGCTATGTTTTTTAAAAGGCAGTACATGAGGCTGAATGAACTGTTTCGCTGCCAGACAAGGGTCTGCTGATAGCCAGGTGTAACAGTGGTAAATTGTTGGGACTATTTTTTTTAAATTTTAGTCATTTAGCAGATGCTCTTATCCAGAGCAATTTACAGTTATTGAGTGCATATATTTTCATACCGGACCCCCGTGGCAAACGAACCCACAACCCTGGCATTGCAAGCGCCATGCTCTACCAACTGAGCTACAGGGGACTATGCTGTTGAGACAGCTTTCTGTAGGCTCTAACAGTTGGTGGGCACCGTTTGTCACCATTATAGTCCAATTAATGTATTGCTTAGTGTTGTGTAGTGTAGTGGCTTTGCTGGCATGCATCCCCCCAAAAAAACGAAGCCCCAAAAGGGATTATATTTGAAAATAACAATAATTTCATACCTTGATTACATTGAGACATGATCAAATAGGCTATTCATGGGAATAATCGGCAACAGATTTCCTAAATAAAACATTAAAAAATACTGAATTGCTGGTGATTTTACAGCAATTTTATTTTATTTACCAAAACCTAAAATAAAATAAAAAATCCCAAACAAAATACTGCTCTGTCGTAGCTCAGTGGTTACTTTCAACACGTTCTATATCAGCAGCGGGCTCGAACCTTGGGCTCTCTCCAGCCAGTCACTTTTTCCTCACTGTAGCAATTTGATGGGTATTGAGCGGGGAAATAGAGACTACAACAAAACAAGACATAGTTACGGTGCATGCAGGCATAATTCATTTGGGAATTTAGATAGCCTACAAAGTAGTGAAACAGTGAACCCCTTCGGGACAAAATAACGTTTAATGTACTTGCCCACGGTCCCAGATTCAGGATCGGTTTTATATTGTATCTCCTTCTGATTTATACCTGGGTTGTGGTTAGAATGCTGATCCTAAGTCTGCACAGTTGATGAAGCCTGGTAAAGATGGCCACAACTCTAGATCCGTTTGATTTATCTTACCCGGCGCAATTTCGAGGAGCAGTGGAATGGTAAACAGGCTAAATCTGCTCACTGAGCGCGCCAGACGATGTAAATTAAGCGCACCGAAAATGTTGTACATGCGCAGACCATTCAGTCATTGGCGCAGACAGCCAGTAATGTTGACAAATTACGGGGGAGGGGCCAATTGCAAGGTAAGTTGCTAAAATTGTCCGATCTTGTATATAGCTATTGTACAAATACTGTATTCTCGATGCAATTCAATGTTTCAAGCAGCGTTGTACAAATGCCTAATATTAGACATTTGCTTGGCTTTATTACTGGCTAAATAGGTAGTTTGCGTTAACTCACAACATTAGCTATAGCAGCTAGCGATAGCAAAGATGCTTTGTTGAACTGACCCGTCGTAGCTTGAAGGAACCGCTGGAATAATGCAGCTTTATGCTAATGCTAGCTACATATTCGTAATTTATACAACAAGTAAATATCGGCATGTGTTTTGGTTAGTTAATACTTTAGCAAGCTGGATTTGACATTTTGATATTTCGCTGCAGATGTTTGCATAACGTCTTTAGCAATATAATGCATCTGCTAAAGTCACTGGGTAACGTTAGCTAGTTATTTGTTGAATGAAATTCCACGCTCGCGGCTACATTGTAGGGTGCAACGTTGACTAACTATTGAAGGGGCCTAAAGAGTACTGTTATCACTCCAATCAAACACACAGTATAGCATGTTCGTTGAAGGCTTTCTATATTGTAGATGGATACACGCAGAGCCTGTACCAATGTTTGGAAATCAGAGGTTTCAGGTTTGTGATTGAGTTTCAGTAGCCTGGTTTGTTTTCCCAAAAAGATAACCAACTTGGCCTTCTTCCTCAAACCTGTTTAGCTCCCGGGTGAATGAAGGAGATTCTCTTTCCAGTTGACACTGTGAAAATGAAGGGGTGAGCTAACAATACATTGATTTAACCATAATCCATTTGAACCAAAGCTACTTCCACATGATTTGTTGTAATGAATTGAGTGTTGGGCTGGATGATCATATTCTAGTACAAGTTGAAAGAGCGGTGTGTTACTGTATATTAACATTGTTCTTCTCATTTTGTTATGTAGTCAACAGAAAAGCCCTGACCCAGATGAAAGTGCACATGTCATTGAAGAAGGTAACATCATGTAGAAAGGAAATAATGCCCCTCAAAACCTCAGAAGACAAATGACACCCATGGTATTTTCTTGCTTATATTATAGAGACTATGTATTCTGATTTTTGCTCTACCAGGTGCAGTGGCTACAGCTGATGACCCATCAGCTGCCATCGCCACCATTCAGTCTGCCGCCACCTTCTCCTCAGAGCATCCCATAAAGTATCTATTCAAGACTGAGGGAGCAGGGGGGCAGGTAGGGGAGCTGTACTACCCTCCCACTGGGCAGGTACAGTTGGGGAGAGCATGCTCTACAGGGCTCACTAGATCTAGCCGAAGTCCCTGAGCTAGAGCTCTGAGCCCAGCCAATGCCCAGCCACAGTTTTCTGAGGCTCAGTCTTCTGTCATTACTAATGACCGATTTGATGTTTCGCTCAACAAACCTGTGTGTTATCTTTTGCTGAAGGTGACATACAGAGTCATCCAGGTGTCTGATGGACAGTTGGAGGCTCAAACTGATGGAGCCACAGCGGTTAGTGTGCTCACTGGATTTCCTGCAGCCACACAGCCTATGACCCAGGTGAGAATTTATACGAGCAGGACTTGGGGGCCCTCCCAGCGGGGAACACTGGTTTGAAATTATGTAAAAAGAAGTCATTTCAACCTGTTTCTGGTTGAAATGACATACATTTCAATCAGTTTTGCCCACCAGGCTAGTAGTATTCAAAGTCGGATTCTGGAAATCAAACATAGCATTGTTTTTAATTTGTGATAATAAAGATTCTCTACTCTATTCTATTCCTCTATTTCTACTACCCACTGTATACAGTTTTGCTAGTTATTCAACACTGACAAAGGTGTCCTCTTGCTGTAGGCTGTGTTCTCTCAGTCCGAGGGGTTGGAGGGGGACGGCACTGAGACGCATTACACCTACTACCCTGCCACCATCGCTGATGCTTCACCAGGCACCATGGTAACCAGCGTGGTGCAGGCATCTGATACACATCTAAGTCAGAGCACTCCCACTGGTGAGGAGATTAAGGAGATTCAATTACATAGAAATAGAATTGCTAGATAGAATGAATATATCCTATTTCTATGCTCCATCAGGTTATGCATTTATTTCCAATTGGCTTCCCATTTAGATTGCCATTTAATATTGATACATTTATATTGACAATTTGAATTGAAGGAAGCAAGGGACTTATTTGTTTCAGGGCAGTTGTATGTGATGATGTCCCCCCAGGAAGTGCTGACTGGAGCCAACCAGAGGTCCATTGCACCTCGCACACAACCTTACAACACGTAAGCTGCCATTTTAATCAGTACAGTAGGTACTGGACTGGAGAAGCCAGGAGAATCATCACAGTTACCATATTAGTTAGTCACACTGTCCCATGTCCATTCATGAGTTTCTTTGTGTGTTGGGTCTTAATTACTTAGCCTTGTTACTGTTTTTAGCTGCATACAGTTGAAGTTGGAAGTTTACATACACCTTAGCCAAATACATTTAAACTCAGTTTTTCACAATTTCTGACATTTAATCCTAGTAAAAATTCCCTGTTAGGTCAGTTAGGATCACCACTTTATTTTAAGAATGTGAAATGTCAGAATAATTGTAGAGAGAATGATTTATTTCAGCTTTGATTTATTTCATCAAATTCCCAGTGGGTCAAAAGTTTACATACACTCAATTAGTATTTGGTAGCATTGCCTTTAAATTGTTTAACTTGGGTCAAACGTTTCGGGTAGCCTTCCACAAGCTTCGCACAATAATTTGGGTGAATTTTGTCCAATTCCTCCTGACAGAGCTGGTGTAACTGAGTCAGGTTTGTAGGCCTCCTTGCTCGCACACGCTTTTTCAGTTCTGCCCACACATTTTCTATAGGATTGAGGTTAGGGCTTTGTGATGGCCACTCCAATTACCTTGACTTTGTTGTCGTTATGCCCTTTTGCCACAACTTTGGAAGTATGCTTGGGGTCATTGTCCATTTGGAAGACCCATTTGCGACCGAGCTTTAACTTCCTGATTGATGTCTTGAGATGTTGCTTCAATATATCCACATAATTTTCCTTCCTCATGATGCCATCTATTTTGTGAAGTGCACCAGTCCCTCCTGCAGAAAAGCACCCCCACAGCATGATGCTGCCACCACCGTGCTTCACGGTTGGGATGGTTTTCTTCAGCTTGCAAGTGCCCCTTTTTTCCTCCAAACATAACAATGGTCATTATGGCCAAACAGTTCTATTTTTGTTTCATCAGACAAGAGGACATTTCTCCAAAAAGTACGATCTTTGTCCCCATGTGCAGTTGCAACCCGTAGTCTGGCTTTTTTATGGCAGTTTTGGAGCAGTGGCTTCTTCCTTGCTGAGCGGCCTTTCAGGTTATGTCGATATAGGACTCGTTTTACTGTGGATATAGATACTTTTGTACCTGTTTCCTCCAGCTTCGTCACAAGGTCCTTTGCTGTTGTTCTGGGATTGATTTGCACTTTTCGCACGAAGTACGTTCATTTCTAGGAGACAGAACGCGTCTCCTTCCTGAGCGGTATGACGGCTGCGTGGTCCCATGGTGTTTATACTTGCATACTATTATTTGTAAAGATAAACGTGGTACCTTCAGGCGTTTGGAAATTGCTCCCATGGATGAACCAGACTTGTGGAGGTCTACCATTTCTTTTGATTTTCCCATGATGTCAAGCAAAGAGGCACTGAGTTTGAAGGTAGGCTTTGAAATACTTCCACAGGTACACCTCCAATTGACTCAAATTATGTCAATTAGCCTTTCAGAAGCTTCTAAAGCCAAGACATAATTTTCTTGAATTTTCCAAGCTGTTTATAGGCTCAGTCAACTTAGTGTATGTAAACTTCTGACCCACTGGAATTGTGATACAGTGAATTATAAGTGAAATAATCTGTCTGTAAACAATTGTTGGAAAAATTACTTGTGTCATGCACAAAGTAGATGTTCTAACCAACTTGCCAAAACTATAGTTTGTTAACAAGAAATTTGTGGAGTGGTTGAAAAACGAGTTTTAATGACTCCAACCTAAGTGTATGTAAACTTCCGACTTCAACTGTATATGGATGTATGATGTGTATGACAATGGTTTACACTGTAATATATCTGTTTATTCATGTCTATACTGATTGTGTCTTGTAGAAAATCAGAGGTCCCACGTACTTCTAGAGATGACAAAAGGCGAGCCCAGCACAATGAGGGTGAGACCTAGATACCCATCATAAATTACTCATACAATACTTCATATGAAATGTCTCTTAAATGCTAGTTGGGTTTGCATGTCACGTTGAGCACAGAATCATCTGCCCTGCCTACTCAAATTTGTTATTGTGTAATTTGTCTCCCAAGTTGAACGTAGACGCAGGGACAAGATCAACAACTGGATTGTCACGCTCTCAAAGACTATCCCAGACTGCAACATTGACCCTACCAAGTCAGGGCAGGTCAGTATCAGCAATGAGGTCAGTATCACCATAAAATGGGTCACTCTCAAGTCTAATGTGTATGGTCAGCAGTTTTTCCTGACCATGTCACCTTACTAGAAAGAACTTAGCTATAAAAATGAGGACCTAGAGTTTTTCCTTGTCAGAACACATTCTCAGGAAAAACATCCTGGCCTTACATGGGAGATGGTGACACGGTCTTTCTGTTTTGGTCCAGAGTAAAGGTGGGATCCTCTCCAAAGCCTGTGACTATATCCAGGAGCTTCGGCAGAACAATCTCAGACTAGGGGATGACCTAAGCACCCTGGAGAGGCTCAGAATAGACAATCAACTACTGAGGCAGGAGGTAAGACACTACGGCTGTGTTTACACAGGCAGCCCAATTCTGATATTTTGCACAATTATTGTAGAAAGAGGTGATCTGATTGGTCTAAAGACCAATATGTGGGAAAATATCAGAATTGGGCTGCCTGTGTAAACGCAGCCTACTATGATTCATTCATGCTTTGTAATAGGTTCAGATTTGGATTTTGCTGATCAGGCCGTAGGATTAGTCAGTGAGAGATGTTTGTTCTATCATCAATCTTGTTCACCTACTTACTGCAACACTAATTGTATGCAGTCACACAGAACCACAGAAAAAATGTGTGTTGGAGATTGTAGTCAGACTGCGCAGCATCACTGATATACGAATCACCTTGCATCCAAACAACTTATTAACTACTTATAAAGTGATCAAGGTTAGGGGTTCTGCACCTCGCCGTGATCACACTGTACCTCTCACACATTCTGAAAAACGTGCAAACAAAATACCAAACCTTAGGACAGCTTTTCACGAAAATCCATGCATCAGCTGTAATAATAGGCTTTGTTTGAGCTGCTTTTCCCATCCAATTTTGAACAGGTAGAAGGCTGGAAATCCAAGAACCAGATTCTGAGGAACCAGATGCGACAGAATGGCATTGTTGGAGCAGCAAGCGCAGACCCTCAGTGAGGAGCAGCATGGGTAGTCCGGGGAGAGGAAGGATGTTAGATCATAGAATTTGAATATCTCAGTGGAGGGATGGTAGAATTAACTTGTGATAGAACTTTTGACCTCAAACCAGAAGAAAATTCTCACTTCACTACAAAAAGCGACCATACAAAATCAGTCTGAAGGAGTTTGTAGATAGGTCATTAATTGGTCACATTTTACATAAGGAAAACCATGTTAGCTCTTATAACTAAAGATTTTTCCCGCAGCTATTCAGCTGTCATGTACATACAATTGTTTAGCTTTTTTACCTTTGACACAATTGCGCTTCATTGTATCAAGTATATTTAGTAACTCTTAGAATAAGTCTCAAAATACATTTACATTTAATGCATATAGAGTATGAGATGTCCCCACTTCCAGAAATGGCTCAGCACTTTGTTTTTCTAAAGTTGTCAGCGTAAAATGTATTACAATGATATATATTGTAATAAAGGATCTTTGTATTGGTAAATGATGATGGAACTTAATAATTTAGTGAAAAACTTCATGGGATTGAGAGCTTTCTGTTCAGTTCACTTATTGAGTCCACTATGAACATCAGTTATATCATTCTGAGTTTTAATTTCATCATTAGTCAACCTAGTATATAATGTATGATTGTCATTAGCATTTTTTATTAAAAAATATACAAGTAATATGGATTTATGAACTATATTTTCTATTTTTATTGTTTCCTGAATGCATGCAATTTATGGGAACTCGCCAGCAGGGGTCATCATTCGGAGACACTGGCCCTTTAAGAATTAGGCTACAGTGTAGCAGTCATGAAGTCACATTTCAATGTGAAATCGTATGGGTACACCATTTTACTGTTTATTGTACTGTCTCGCATAAACCAAGGTATTTGATGTCGTTCACAAGTGAATAAGACTAGGGCAAAGAAAATGATCTGTATTTTATTGGTAGCTGGCCACGGCACTGTTCTAGAAACTCAGATTAAGGTAAATTGTTAATGTGAGCAAACGTGGTTGGTTCATTTCACAGCACAAGCAGGTCAATTCACAGAAAAACATAAATATGGCCATATACTGTGAGCTAGAGGAGGGAGAGAAGAGCAGCTCCAGGGGTATAGTGGAGGTATGCCCTGAGACCCACAGGTAGGCAACAGGAAAAATAATCTGTGGCAGAATTTATCTTGATACCAGTATATTGTTGATAACAGAACTCCCATTTGATATGGGTAATTTGCCACCAACAGAAAAGCCTAAAAGCCTAGGTATTTTAGGATAAATCGCTTCCTTGAGAAGCTACAGGAGGGAGTGACAGCATTGCTTCTAGCCAGTGTGGTGTTCTACTGCCTTCGCAAAGCCACACTGCCTTACATCTCAGATTTCCTCAGCCTGCAGCCACAAGCCCAAGACAGGACCTTCGGCAGGTTCTGGGTCAGTAAGGACTGGGAACATGGGAATGTTTGGATTTGGGTTCAGTTTTCAATTCAGTGACTTCCGGAAGTGAAATTAAATTAAATGAATTCATTGATAATTGCCTGTTGTTTTATATGAGGATTTTCTAGTCATGATTTTAATTTCAATTCACTTTCTGAATTGAAAACTGGATTGACCCCAACCCTGGATATTACTGTAAGTCGCTCTGGATAAGAGCGTCTGCTAAATGACTAAAATGTAAAACGTACTGTCTATCAAATCGGTTAGCAACTAACACTCGCATCACGAGACTCCCTGTTTGTCTTTTCACCCAGGAGTGGATTATCAATGAGGAGAAGTTACCTGTGTTGGCATTAAACTGCCCTCAGGGTTCCAGCTCATTGGACAAGTGGTTGGTTGCTTTTTTCCTCAACCATACAGACTACTGTGGAGTTAACAGGATATGGTGTCATGTTATGGCATGAGATATGTAACTGTCTACTGGAGAGCATGTGAATAGATTGACAATCATTTAAGCATCACAATATAGTGGAAGGAAGGTGGTATGACTAGATGGTTAGCTCTATTGGAAAGAGTGATATGATGATGATGTATGTTGACGAGATTTATTTCTCTTCTGGATATCACAGGGGCTGTCAGACTACACCAAGTGGCTTGCCCACTATTCTGCCCAGCAACAGGAATGCCCTGCCAAACCTATAACATGCCGCTCATACGCAAGGTAGATTGCACCACTACAAAGACTTTCTGAAAAATAGTATTGATGGGTTGTTCTCTCACCTTTTGGACTCCTTCAGTGAATATGTCCTTTCAGGGAATGTGATCTAACATCATGTTTCACTTCCTCATAGAGTTGGACTGATGGGGAATCCTTCTGATGGCTTCAATGGGAAAACCATTGCCATGACCATCTCCAACTTCTGGGCTGAGGTCACACTGATGGAGAGCCAGACCCTGGTAACAGTCAGACTTGACTCCAGTTAATACAGTGCATTCGGAAAGTATTCAGACCCCTTCCCTTTTCTACATTTCGTTACATTACAGCCTAATTCTAAAGTGGATAAAAAAAGAAATCCTCATAAATCTACACACAATACCCCATAATGACAAAGCGAAAACAGGTTTTTAGACATTTCTGCTAATTTATTAAAAATATAAAACAGAAATACCTAGTTTACGTAAGTATTCAGACCCTTTGCAATGAAACTCGAAATTGAGCTCAGGTGCGTCCTGTTTCCATTGATCAACCTTGAGATGTTTATACAACTTGATTGGAGTCCACCTGTGGTAAATTCAATTGATTGGACATGATTTGGAAAGGCACACACCTGTCTATATAAGGTCCCACAGTTGACAGTCAGAGCAAAAACCAAGCCATGAGGTCGAAGGAATTGTCTGTAGAGCTCTGAGACAGGATTGTGTCGAGGCACAGATCTGGGGAAGGGTACCAAACATTTCTGCAGCATTGAAGGTCCCCAAGAACACAGTGGCCTCCATCATTCTTAAATGGAATACGTTTGGAACCACCAAGACTCTTCCTAGAGCTGGCCGCCCGGCCAAACTGAGCAATCGGGGGAGAAGGGCCTTGGTCAGGGAGGTGACCAAGAACACGATGGTCACTCTGACAGAGCTCCAGAGTTCCTCTGTGGAGATGGGAGAATCTTCCAGAAGGACAACCATCTCTGCAGCACTCCACCAATCAGGCCTTTATGGTAGAGTGGCCAGACGGAAGCCACTCCTCAGTAAAAGGCACATGAAAACCCGCTTGGAGTTTGCCAAAAGGCACCTAAAGGACTCTCAGACCATGAGAAACAAGATTCTCTGGTCTGATGAAACCAAAATTCAACTCTTTGGCCAAGCGTCACGTCTGGAGGAAACCTGGCACCATCCCTATGGTGTAGCATGGTGGTGGCAGCATCATGCTGTGGGGATGTTTTTCAGCGGCAGGGACTGGGAGACTAGTCAAATTCAGGGGAAAGATGAACGGAGCAAAGTACAGACAGATCCTTGATGAAAACCTGTTCCAGAGCGCTCAGGACAGCAGACTGGGGTGAAGGTTCACCTTCCAGCAGGACAACGACCCTAAGCACACAGCCAAGACAACGCGGCTTTGGGACAAGTCTCTGAATGTCCTTGAGTGGACCAGCCGGAGCCCGGACATGAACCCGATTGAACATCTCTGGAGAGATGCTTTTAGCGTCATACCCAAGAAGACTCCAGGCTGTAATCGCCGCCAAAGGTGCTTCAACAAATTACTGAGTAAAGGGTCTGAATACTTATGTAAATGTGATATTTAATTTTTTATGAATTTGCCAAAAATTCTAAAAACCTGTTTTTGTTTTGTCATTATGGGGTATTGTGTGTAGATTGATGAGGGTAAAAAACAATTGAATCAATTTTAGAGTAAGGCTGTAACGTAACAAAATGTGGAAAAAGTCAAGGGGTCTGAATACTTTCCATATGCACTGTACACGGCAGGAGAATACAAAATGCGTAGTGTCATCTCTGATCAAATTTTAAGGTATTCAACCATAAAGATAGTATGATTGATATGTTTGCTCTGTTTTCTTCAGGTTCTTCTGCCTCATCCACTCAATGACCCGACTGAATTTGGAAGCTTGCAGGATCTGTACTGTATCAGCCATAAGGAGGGGTCAGTGTAAAATCCCTAATGCAAGACATATATGCATGATGTTTACATGATGAATTCCCAAACCATATGTGTTATTTCATAGTTTTGATGTCTTCACTATTATTCTACAATGTAGAAAATAGTAAAACATTTAGAAAAACCCTTGAATGAGTAGGTGTGTCCAAACTTTTGACTGGTAATGTATGGTTCATGAGAATATTTTTTTAGCATTAGCATATGTGCTAACACGCCTCAATAGGTACAGTGCGGCCATATTTGAATGCAACCATTTTTTCTCTCAAAACCATTAAAGACTGATATAATGAGATATCAATTCCAAATTCAGTGTGGTTAATCTTAGGGACATCCATGATAGCGATGACAAGTTTCAAGTTGATAGGCCACTGTGGACGCATAAAATCTGATTTTTGATTTGTCAATAACTTAGCCATCTTTTGACCAATCCCTTAGCTTTTCTCAAACTAGTTAAGACGTACTATGGGCCTACATTCCATATTTGGTGTCATTTGGTCCTATGGTTTATGAGAAGAAGATTTTTTAAGTATTTCTTGCATTTTGTAGCATATTAGCGTGTGTGCTAATATGCATATACTGTTGCCATATAGTGTTGCCATCTTTGAATGCATCAACGTCATTTCTCAAGCTCTTTATGGACTATTGTGAGTCCAAAGCTCGAATTTGGAGTAAATCTGACTTTTAGTCCATGAGAATATTTTTTTATTATGATTTTAAGCATTAGCGTTATAAAGTCAAGAAAGTGTTGTTTCCTTATTTTTTAGGATATCAATGCAAACTTAACATGGTTCATCATGGTAATGGCTTTGATGACCCTAAAATGTTTCTTGTTGATAGGCCATTGTGGAGTGGATTTATGAAGGATTTAAATGGACAGGTAAAAAATGATTTCCTGATTTATCAATAACTCCATCTCTTAACCAATCCCGTATATATTTTCTCAGTTAAGTTAAGAGATGTACCATTGGCCTACATACCAAATATCTTCAGACATTTCCAAGATGGAGGAAAATCTATCCTGCTGGACCTAATAGGTCCTTGAGGCAAATTTGTTCAACATGAGGAAAGACACCTACATACAACGTTTCAAGTCTCTAGGTCAAACAGGGCGATGGATATGAGGGTTTAAGTGAGACTGCTTACAATAGTGCCACCTATAGGCCAATCGTTGCAATTCTTTTTGATCAAGTTACTCATGGCCTCTGGTAGTTCTGTCTGCCAAATTAGAAAGAAAAGTGACCAATCTATGCTTGATAACTGTGAACACCTGCAGGGGTGTCAAACTCATTCCATGGAGGGCCAAGTGTCTGCAGGTTTTTGTTTTTTTCCTTTCAATTAAGACCTAGACAACCAGGTGACCTTAATTCAGCAGTCAAATACAAGGGTGGAGCGAACACCCGCAGACACTCGGCCCTACGTGGAATGAGTTTGACACGTGTGGCCTAATGATTAATGATAATGATTTTTGAAAGGTAATTCATTTCTTTAGGGGTATGAGAGTTTGTGCATGTGTGTTTTTAAAGGTACCTGTGGATATCTTTGTGCATCCTCTTGCAAATAACTAGAGCTGAACATTTATGTATACATTATGTAACTCTGAGTTTACAATTAACCTTTTACATGTTCATGTTTGTGTGTTGACTGTACACAGGGGATTACACTCCTATGGCCATGAGCAGTCTTCCACCATTCTGGTTAGTTTATCTGAGTGATCCCAGTTACTCTGGTCGGATTCACAGCAACGTCAGACAGCGCTGGCTCAACGGTAAGACACACACACGGTAAGCTCGGTTGGCAGGCAGCAATGTTCACCAAGGTCGAGGTCAATTCCATTTCGACTTTGTTTACTTCCTGCATTGATGGAATTATCACTTCATCAATTTTAAACTGTAGGCTAGAGGAATCAGATGATAATGAACAGGAATACCTTTGTTCTCTATCCGTATTAAGTCTCTCTGTCCACCTTTTTTTTCAGGAGAAGCTGAAGTGGTTGAGGCCATGAAGTATTTTGCTGAGTTCACAGATCAAGCCAGGTTTGTGTGAGATGTTTGGAGGCACACAGGTTCAGTGGCAGTAGTGCCCCTGGTGCGATAGCAATGGCACAACATCAGTGGATGGTAGTTATGGGATTTGAACCAGCAGCCCTCCAGTGCTGGTCTGCCCCTCTAACCTCTGTCTACATACTACCCCACAGAGTTCTTGCCTGTCTCTTTGATATGGCTTAAATATCTAATCTAGGATCTTCAGCACAACAAATTCTTAACATTAATATATATATATATATATATATATATATATATATTTGCAGGACGTAACATATCATACGAAATGGATGATGTAGTACACAAAAAACAGGGACCACTTTTGGCTTGTAAGCACCACTCAAAACTACTGGCTGAAATTATACACTCTCAAACTTTTGTATCTTTAAGTGAGCATTACCTGGGAATGAAAAGGTTGGGTTCTCTTGTCCTCCACAGGGTTGCGCTGCAGGGAATGGACTGGAGCAGGCTGGCCCAGTTGATGGATGAGAACTTTGAGCTGCGACGGTAAAGACAAGCGTGACATCCTTTGAGTCTGTCATTGGTTTGAGGAAGTTAATCTCTTTGCTCCCATGAAGTGGGCTTTTATATCTGTGACCTTGGAAAGATAAAACATGATCGCCAACTGTCATAGAGACAGAAGATTTTCCTGACCACATGACCTGATCAGGAAAAACTCTTGGCCCTAAAGAGTTAATTGTCATCAATGAACAACATGATTTTACATAGTAAGATGTAAGGGCAACTTTTTGTTCAGACAGGAAACCACTAATACTGGAACGAACTCTGTCCTATAGGTCTGCGTACACAGAAGACTGTTTGGGACCAGGCAATCAAGATGGTGCAACTGGCAAGACAGGTAAAGTATAGAGTTAAAATTTCCAAGAATATCTTATATTTTCCTATGATGTTTCTTTGTACTTTTTGTTTATCATTTGGTGTGTTTGCTTGCATTGCTTGCCAATGTAGTTTGGCTCAGCTGCGAAACTACCCGGCAGTGGTGGGGCTGTAGTGGGCTTATGTCTGGATCAAGGAAGACTGGTAAGACATCTTAAACAACACTGTATACTGTATGCGCGGTGGAATCAATGTAAAAGAGCTTAATTATTTTTCATACTTTGGTCACTTTATTTTGATAATCCCGTATAGATGGTTAATTGATGCTCAAACTATCAACTGCAACTCTGTTATATAACTCGACTTAACTTGAAACACCACAGCTTCCTAGGGTTAGGGCTAAAGTTTGTTGATAGTTACTTTAGCATCTATAAATTGGTCCATCTGTAGGCTCTATGTAGAGGACTATCCAAATACAGTGTCACCCATACAGTAGTAATGTTGTGCCTGTCTTTGCTTTGACACTAGGTGGAGATGAGGAAAGCGTTCCAAGAGGCTGGCTGTGTGTTCTGTGTGATTGTGCCATATAACCCATCTGATACCATTGGAACCAACAGCCAAGGCTGATTATCTATAATGGACGTTTTAATAATCAATCAAATGTAATATCTGTAGCTAAGATAACACAACATTATATATTTTTGTTCATGTGGGCAGATTTGTAGCCAATTATTTCCTGTGTGAATGGTTTATAATGAGGCAGTTGTGAAATGAATGTGCCTTGTAATGGTTTGTGAGTCATTTTATAAATGTAACACATTGTCTTTTTATGAACATTGAATAAATATGGATTATTAATTTATTAGGCAAATGCAGTGTATTAGTAGCCTAATTTCACTTATTTATTTCATCTACCATATTAGGCTGGGTCTAACGTTACTCTGTATTACATATTGCTCACTTTATCTAAAATTCCCTTTTATTTTTGGACACAAACGTAACCTAACGTTTTGAGGACACAAATTGTAAACATCAAAGCTATACTGAATAGCCTATTATTATGATAGTATGGCTACTGTAATTTAGGACACTCCTTGGGTCCCAGACAGAGTACAGGCGAAAATTAATAATAGATCCCGTGCGCTCTGCACGTATCTTTCCGTTTTAAACACAAAACGCAGCAGCAGACATCATTTGAGTTTCTGGGGGCGGAGAGGGAGCTCCCGCAACCGCACTTGCTCACAAAAATAATCGGTTGTAGTCTATTAGTTATATTTCCCCACCACTCGCAACAGTATCGTAGACCTAGTCTGAAAACCAATGGAATCATGGCTGCAAAAGAGGATCTCTACAGCAAAATCATCCCGCGAAGACTTCGGCCGAAAGTACCCGGCACTGTGAAATATGGATCGAATTTGGAGGTCCTCTTATCGATGGGTTTCCCCAAAGTCAGGGCGTAAGTAGGCTACTGTGTACTTTATCCGAGTCACTCGTAGAGGTGAACACTAGCTCTTTGGGTATAGTTTTAGCATTTGTTAAAATTACAATTTGTATTTTGTTAAAAAATACAATGTTTTCTGACGCACTGTCGTATTTCACCTATGGAGGCAATCTTTTGATCCACATTATCTTTCTCACCATGCGCAATTGGCTGGCAATTGCCTACTTTTCCTCATTAAACTCTCACGCAACCTGGACCCGGGTAGGGGAAGACGTATCATACTAAACTAAAATCCGGGACACTCAAATTAGTATGATATGTTACGTTGGTATGGTATGTATTAATTTGTGGATCCATTTTGTATGAAGCGTTACCAATTACAATTCGTATGATATGTTACGCTTTGCAATTCGTACAATATGTTACGAATTTGCAATAAGTACAGTGCCTTCAGAAAGTATTCACACCCCTTGACTTTTGTTACAGCCTGAATTTAAAATGGATTACATTTAGATTTTCTATCACTGGCCTACACACATTACTCCATAATGTCAGTGGAATTATGCTTTTAGACATTTTTACAAATGAATTAAAAAAGAAAAGCTGAAATGACTTGAGTCAATAAGTATTCAACCCCTTTGTTATGGCAAGCCTAAATAAGTTCAGGAGGAAAAATGTGTCACTTAACAAGTCACATAATAAGTTGCATGGACTCACTCTGTTTAACATGATTTTTGAATGACTACCTCATCTCTGTACACCACACATACAATTATCTGTAAGGTCTCTTAGTCGAGCAGTGAACTTCAAACACAGATTCAACCACAAAGACCAGGGTCGTTTTCCAATGCCTCACAAAGAAGGGCACCTATTGGTAGATGGTAAAAAAATGAAAGAAAAAAAGCAGACATTGAAAAATCCCTTTGCGCATGGTGAAGTTAATAATTATACTTTGGTATCAATATACCCAGTCACTACAAAGATACAGGCATCCATCCTAACTCAGTTGCCGGAGGGGAAGGAAACCACTCAGGGATTTCACCATGAGGCCAATGGTGACTTTAAAACAGAAGCAGAGTTTAATGGCTGTGATAGGAGAAAACTGAGGATGGATCAACAACATTGTAGTTACTCCACAAAACTAACCTAAATGAGTGAAAAGAAGGAAGCTTGTACAGAATAAAATATTCCAAAACATGCATCCTGTTTGCAATAACCCACTAATGTAAAACTGCCAAAAATTAGGCAAAGAAATTAAATGTATGTCCTGAATACAAAGTGTTATGTTAGGGAAAAATCCAACACAACACATCACTGAGTACCACTCTTCATATTTTCAAGCATGGTGGTGGCTGAATCATGTTATTGGTATGCTTGTCATTGGCAAGGACTAGGGAATTTTTAAGGATAAAAAAAATGGAATAGAGCTAAGCACAGGTAAAATCCTAAAGAAAAACCTGGTTCAGTCTGCTTTCCAACAGACACTGGGAGACAAATTCACCTTTCAGCAGGACAATAACCTAAAATACAAGGCCAAATATATACTGGAGTTACTTACCAAGATGACATTGAATGTTCCTGAGTGGCCTAGTTACAGTTTTGACTTAAATCAGCTTGAGAATCTATGGCAAGACTTGAAAATGGCTGTCTAGCAATGATCAACAACCAACTTGACAGAGCTTGAAGAATTTAAAAAATAATAATGTGCAAATATTGTTGAATCCAGGTGTGTAAAGCTCTTAGAGACTTACCAAGAAAGACACAGCTATAATCGCTGCCAAAAGGTGATTCTAACGTGTTGACTCAGGGGTGTGAATACTTATGTAAATTAGATATTTATATATTTCAATTTTCAATACATTTGCAAACATTTCTAATAACATGTTTTCACTTTGTCATTATGGGGTATTGTGTGTAGATGGGTGAGGAAAAAATATATTTAATCATTTTTTAATTGAGGTTCTAACACGGCAAAATGTGGAATAAGTCAAGGGGTAGGAATACATTCTGAAGGAACTGTATGATAAATTGGAAGTTAGTGGCTGTACAGTAACATGCTTTACAAGACGTCAGATCTCTGGCTCTGCGGTTCACAGCGCTGTATGGGTTTTACAAGCAGCCCATAAATCATTACATTTGACCACTAACGGTTGATTAAAAACAAAAATCAACACTAGACAATCAAGACAAACAACCAACACCATTAAAACAAGCAACCCAAAGGTTTCTAATTAGGAGCTAATTACTACTTTTTAGCTACTTTGCAACTACTTAGCATGTTAACTAACCCTTCCCCTAACCTTAACCCTTTAACTTAACTCCTAACCTTAACCTTAACGCCTAACCCCTAGCTTAGCTAACGTTAGCCACCTAGCTAACGTTAGCCACAACAAATTGGAATTCATAACGTATCATACGTAAATCAAATTCGGAATATATTGTACAAATTGTTATTTGTAACATTTCATACAAATTGTAATTCGTAACATATCATACTAAAAGGATCCACAAATTAATACATACCATACCAAACTTAACATATCATACTAATTTGAGTGTCCCGGATTTTTGTTTACAATATTACGTCTAGTCTATGAAACCAAGCTGTTTTAAGAGGTCACTTCATAGGCTACTGTAATCATGAATGTTGCTCTTGGTCTGGGTTGGAGTTTGGTGCACAATAGGCATTGATGGTAGTTGGTAGAGACTGTATATAAGATGGAATTCTAATAAATGCTGATGGTATTGATGAGATGAGATACTCTTCACTTACACAGATATGATAGCCAACAGAAAACATTTTTAAGTCTGGAAGAAACTGAAATTTCATGACCTTGAGAGCGAGAGAGACTGTGTGTGTGTGTCATGGATCACGCTCAATCTTATGTTTTGAACTGAATGGATTGACTGTTCTTGATGTGACCAAATTACTGCAGCACAGTGTACAACTGTTATGTCAGCTGGGTACTCACTAGGAGAGACTCACAGACAGACTCACCATGTAAGGAAGCATTTACAGTTGTCCTAATGTCACCAATAATAGAGAGTAAATACATTGTTAACTTTTCAAACGTATATCAATTGTATAATTTCTATGTGATCAGGATCACAACCCACATCATTGCTCAGTAAAATATGAAACGTGCGTCCCAGTGGTTATGATCATAGTTATTCACAATAGTATTGTTTTACTTCTCATATTTTTAAGTCCCAGTCTCAAGTCTGTATTACTT